ACCAGACCTCAACCCTTTCATCTTTGAGACAGTCAAGGGATGCCACCTCTTCTCCTCAGGAAAGGTGAGTTAGGTTGTTCTTACTTACACAGAACAAAACGATTCTATTTAGACTGTAATTTAGTCTGAGTTAATGAGCTGAGACTCACAGTAACAGCATAGCAGTGTGCTGCGTGATTGCCTGTATTTACTGCCGTCCTGATTGTAGAATTGTTCCTTCTTTTCAGATTGATAATGGGACCTGTATCTGTGCTGCTATGCCCAATAAGATTACAATTCTGCGACATAATGAAGGCCTCAACAAGTTCTGCATCAGAAAAGTAAGAGTGCCTTAAATATGAATAGGTGATACAATATGTGATAAAGGTCAGTGACAGGGTTTGCAAAAAGTGTCACTTGTTAAACTTTTGGTTGTATCTGCAGGAAATTGAAACATCAGAGCCCTGCAGCTGTATCCACTTCACCGGCTACAGTATCATTATCGGTACCAACAAGTTCTATGAGATTGAGATGAAGCAGTATGTGCTAGAAGGTAGGTCAAATCATGTAATGATATTATTTTTTAAAAATATTTCTAATCAACCAGATGGTGTTCTAAACACGTCTACACAAGTGTGATTCTGCTGTGGGGATGTCTTAGCATTCACACCTGAATGAGCCACCTGAAGCTGATTTGATTTCATTCTGCAGAGTTCCTGGATAAAAATGATGTGACCCTGGCTTCAGCTGTCTTTGCGGCGTCCTCCCACAGCTTCCCCATCTCCATCATTCAGGTCACCACGGCTCCACAGAAGGATGAATACCTGCTCTGTTTCCATGGTTTGGCAATTATTTTCTGTCTGTGTGGGCACACACGTACATATGGTTGTGTATGCAGCTTAGTATGTCAACACAATTACCAGCAGACGAGCCAAGATGTAACAGTTTGTGTGAGAAAATCTGTGATCAGGAAAGGATTCTTCTTGACATGCAGTTTCATCTTAGTTCAAACAGGAGATAACAGAGATGTTGTTTTGGTTTGCACTTACAAAAGCAACATTTTGTTGCAGAGTTTGGTGTGTTTGTGGACGCATACGGCCGCAGGAGTAGAAGTGACGATATCAAATGGAGTCGTCTGCCTCTCTCTTTTGGTTAGTGAAAATCAGAATTTCTTCAATGACCCTTTCAAATTTTCATTTATTTGGTAACTTTTAATGGTCAGTAATACTCAGTAAAATGATGTTGTGGATTTTGTTCTTTGGCATTTCAGCCTATAGAGAGCCCTATCTGTTTGTGACCTACTTCAACTCTCTGGACGTTATTGAGATTCAGGGACATGCTGCTCTTGGGTAAGACTGCCTTCTGCTTCTTTGTCACGGCCAGCGCCTTAGGGTTACATGAATTTGTTTTTGTTTTTTTTCCAGCAAACATAGTTTTATGGCTGTTTGTTTGTTTTTCCAGCAAACATAGTTTTATGGCTCTTTGCTCAGTATTATTGAATATTGTAAGGGACACACTGTTTAATGCTATTAATCTCTTTCCAGACCTCACTCATATGCACACCTGGATATTCCAAACCCACGCTACCTTGGCCCAGCCATCTCTTCTGGCGCCATCTACCTGGCCTCTTCTTACCAGAACAAACTTCGGGTCATCTGTTGCAAGGGCAATCTGGTCCAGAGCCAAGAGGGTGGAGGAGACCTGCAACGAAATGGCTCTGGACGCAGGTGAGGACGTACTCGGGTTCATACTAACATGCCCACATTCTCTCATGGCAGCTGATAAAATCACAATTCTGGGAATTATGTTGAGGACCCTTTTAATCTGTCACCCTTCATTTTGCTCAAGACCACATTTTGAGGTCATACACTGGGACAAAGATGTGCATTCTATTTATTTAATTTTTTGTTGAGGTCTGGGCTTCCAGACTATAGAGCAGGGGCACCCTGTATACACTGTACTTCCTACCTCCATGCACACTGAAAATTGAAGCTAGCTGGCACTGTAGGGCATAGGGTGACATCCACAGGTGGTGATGGGTAAACCGTGTCCTTTATATTTGATTATAATGGTAAAACAGAAGAGTAACACCTTCATTTTGCTCTTTGCAGGAGGAAGAGTTTGTTTTTTATCTGTAACAGCTCACAAGATGTGTCTTTTTAAAATTCAAATTACTTTTTAAAATGTCCTGTCAAATGTAGAAAGGAAATGGTTAAATAAAGACTGAATTCCTCCATTAATGTGCTGAGACTAGTATATTATAATGTGAACCTCACTAATAATGTGAAGCTCACTAACAACTGAACCGTTCTTACTCACTGTGCTGATTTTCAGAACTGGCTTTACAAAGCTTTGTTGTTCTGATCTTTATTTTGAAAACCAAATGGAGCTGTTGAGTTCAGCCTCTTCTAATTGTGCTACCACTTAACTGAGCTTGATTGTGAGCACATCATCCTCACCACATTTGTTGACCAGCCTGTTTTCCACAGCACTGAGCTAACCCATGACCCAAGACACACAGTCCCATTTCGTTTAACCAATGGGCTCCATGCCCATCTCTGTGCCTCGGTTCCTCCCTAACAGTCCTAACAAACGCGGGCCTCCTTCCTACAATGAGCACATCTCCAAAAGGCTGGCAGCCAATCCCCTGGTTCACGGAGATCCTGGCACACCTCACCGCTACCGAGAGGCCCGTACAGAGTTTCGACGGGACAAGTCCCCCAGCCGTCCACTGGAGAAAGAGAAGTCTCCTGGCAGGATGCTGGAGAGCCGAATAGTGGGCTCTCCCGGCAGGGCCATGGCTGACCCCCGGTTAGAACGCTCCCCGGGCAGGGCCATGGCTGACCCTCGAATGGACCGCTCCCCTGGTCGTATGATGGATGTCCGTAGGGAGAGGTCCCCCGGGCGATTCGAGGAGCGCCAAAGGCTTCATACTAGCTCTGGACGCACACCCATAAACCCTGTTAACAAGGTCTGCCAGTCATCTCTGTTGATATTTGTTAAAGGAATAGTTTGACATTTTGGATAAGACACATCTGCTTTTTTGTTCAGAGTTAATATGAAGCTGGAGTCGCTGGACTTAGTTTAGCATAAAGAGTGGAAATAAGGAGGAAAAGTGTAAACTGTACACACTGTCAATTTATGAAGGGTTATGTGTAAAATTATTTTGGCTGTGAGCAGCTACTACCTTGTGTCTCCACTAGTTGCCCAGCAACTTCACAGTGAGGAAAAAGCATCTTGTTTTTACTGTTTAGTTTTTGTACTGAATAAATGAGATCTAATATGATAATTAGTGATGCATAAAGATTTTCTGACTTTTGGACACAGCCTAGCTGCTTCACCCTGCCACTAATCTTTATGCTAAACTTAACCGGCTACTGGCTGTAGCGTCATATTTAATGGACAGGTATCAGTGTTGTTGATATTCTCATATTTTTATCAACAAGAAATGTTGAACTATTCCTTTAATTACCCCTCAGTTCCTGTATGCAGTTGATGTACTTCTGTTGGGGGAAAAATGGAATTATGGTCTTGAAACACATGTTGTCATTATTTTAACCATACGGTTTAGTTCACATTAGGGTTGCAACAGTATGAGATTTTCACGGTATGATAACCGTGTCAGAAAATGACATGGTTTCATGGTATTACACAGTTATTACCAGCTACAACGACCCTCAAAGAACTGAAAACAAAAGGGTCTTTTCTTAAATTTCAGGTGACTGTTCCAATTGGTTGAGCTGGACTGCAGCTAGATTGATCCTAAAGAATGAAACGGAATTAAAAACATGATCTTAAGACGGGTAAAGGACATATAGCATGTTATATTACTAAAGCAGTTGGTTTCCATGTTGGCACCAGTAGTAGAGGAAGTATTCACATCCTTTACTTAATTAAAAGTAGCCTACTCTGTTACAAGTAAAAGTCCTGCATTGGAAATGTTAAGTATTATAAATGAAAGTACTAAACATGGAAGTAGGCTACTCAATGCTGAAGAATGTTAAACTATCTATCCTATACTATTTTATATTATTACATTAATAGCATATTAATAGTCATTTTTTGCACTGATGTAAAAGCAGGATTTGACTGTTGTAGTTGGTTGAGGTGGAGCTCTGCTGATCTAGTTTGTATCCAAGTGCAACTTTTGAATATTTAGAGATGAAACTGCTGACTATTTTCTCCATTAATCGATTGGCTGGTTTGGAGAACAGTAGCGAGACTTGTCGTCCCACTGCTCTGAACAGTTATCAGAATAGTCGCTAATTTACTGTAGGTGCATGAGAATCCAGACCTGTATGTACCTCCACTCTCTCACTCACACACACACACACACACACACACACACACTCACACTCACACTTTTGTGAGCCGGGGAAGCTTGTGTGTGTGTGTGTGTTTCTGGGGTTAGATCCGGATCAGCGTGAGTCCTGCTCAAAGTCAGAGATTAGTAAACGAACAGACAATTTGTGTTTTCCTCCAATACCGGTAATAAGCAAATGTGCGTGGTATGATAACTATACCACGGTATACCGTAAAACCGGTACCGGTACACCGCTGCAACCTTAGTTCACATATTAATTTACACAAGCAAACCACATTATTACAACAGGCATGTACTGTATGTATTGAGCTGTTCTTGTTCTCCTCCAGGTATGGGACCAGTCCTCTGTCTGAGAGACAGCAGAGCCACATACCTGCATTGGACAGAGAAAGGGGGAGGAGGCAGCGGCGTACCAGTGAGAATGTCACCAACTCATGAAACACTGCCACCCATCTGTTTTGCCTGACATTTAAGATGAAAACCCAGAGAGCAAAACAATTGTAGCTGTCAGAACAGAGAGAAAATTATAAATAGATGTCATTAGAATCAGGTTATTTTTCCTCGGTGAACTGACCCGAATCAATAAAAGTCGACAAAAGGCCTCTTTTTTTTGTCATGTATTTGAGATGTGCTCTATAGTCCGAAAGGGGATTAAAGGGCACCGCACACAGGTGGCATCAGACGCATGTCAAAACTCCCGCACCCATTATTTTCAACAAAAGCCCACATCGATGGCAAATCGATGCGCGTCAATGCTTCAGTATACACTACTGCTCTGCTTTCCTGGCGTGGACGCGCATCAAAAGCATAACATACTCAAGTCTCATCCATTTCGGTAGTCCCCCACTGAAATCGCGCCACTCCTGGTGTGTGTTACGCATGTGACGCGTGTCATATGACGAGGGGTGCCCTTTAGTAATTTGATTTGAGTTGTACAAAAAAAGAAAACTGGGTTTTGAGTTCTCACTTTAAGACTTGACTCTGAGTTTTGCTAGCTGCAGTCATCTCCAGACAGTACATAGGATAAGCACAGCCATAGCAACTGTATAAGTCAAAGCCTAAATATATACAAAGTCCAGTGACATACTAGTGACAATGGCAGAGGTTCACTCAAAATAGTATTAATGCAGCTGGCTCCCTTTCACACTTGGCTCTGTCCACAGTAGCTTTAGATCATGACCGAAGAGGACTGTACATCCAACAGCATTTTTGATCCGTGTGCGCTGACATGTCAACACACAATCACTATCAGCTAATTACAATCTGCTAATCTCGGTCTTCTGTCCAGACTTGGGTTAGTTTCAGTGACTGAGCACAAATTAATGTAAACAAAGTCTAAATAAATGAAGCCTCCCTGCCCTGTAGACCCACGCTCACCAGATGATTGTCTGCCCTCGGATAGGTCGACACTAAAACTGCACTACCCACAATCCCCAGCAACAATGGAGCAGGACCTTTCTAATCTTCAGAATGCTATCTGACTGTAAATAGACAAGACATAATTTTATATATATTGAGAAGGAATTTCAAGGCTGGATAAGCCATGTCTATTTTTGTTAAAGAAAAAAAAAGGTGATTACGTGTAATCTTGAATGTCCAATGAGTGATCTTTTAATATGTCCAAACGTCTTTTATTACAGAAGAGGAATAGGGCCACTGTAAAACATTTATTTGAGTTCTGACTTTAAACTTAGAATTCTGAGGGAAAAGTCAGAACTCATCCATTTTTACAGTGGCCCTAACCCTCTCCCGTACTTTATCAAGTGAGTGATTGTATCTGGATCCAACTCGTGTATGCACTTCCATCTGTCAAAGGCAAAACCTCAGTGCTGAATTATATGACATGAATGGAAAAAAAAGATCATGTTTGAAGCTTACCACATAGTACTTGAGCATTTCTTTTTGTACAACGTCCCTTAATATTGTATATAACGCAAAATTGTTCAAGGTGAAGATGAAAATAATTGTTTTGTTTGTTTTTCCTCATTTGTGAGTGGCATGGATATGTATATCTGAAATGAAACGGAGTGTTGTCCTCTGCTTCTGCCTCATGTGGCTTATATTTCTATTCCACAATTTAAGAACAAAGCACGTGAATGGCATAATTTATTTTAACCATTTGAACCATGAATTCATAAGATTACAATGACATATCTTTTTTTAATTTTGTTAAGGCACTCTTGGCAAGTTAAACAGCTAAACCCTTAAATGACACAAATCCATTCAAATTTAATTTGGCTGTCAAGGTGCTTATACCTGACAGCTGATTTTATTTTTATATATCATAGTTTGATCTGTGGTGGTTTTTAGTCATGGTTTTAGAACAAACAGATGAGATGCCACATTTTAACTTGCTCAGTGTGTCTGTCAGTGGTTGGGTGAGAAAAGGGAAGATGTTTCTTCAGCCTTTTGGTTGCAGTATGGTAATTGTTTTTGATGAAAATCTTTCTGAATGTATTTAAGCCAAGAAGGTAGAACTGATTTACTGGTCACAAATGTTCAACACAAAGCACTCAGTGCTACAGATTGCACATGTTTTCTACTGGTCACTCTAGAACTCTATATAAAAGGGTTTCACATCCCGTTTTATCTTATGTTATATTATTTTTACTTTGTCTTTTCACAAGGTCCTGAATCATAATGCTGTATCGCTGGATATGATATTGATGTCTGCTAACAAATGTTTTATTAGCGTTCCCTGTAGAGATTTTGTCACAGAATATTAAATAGTATAACCATTGTCTTTCACTTCTATTCCGCCTTCCTATATTATGCTTATCTGCTTGTGCTCACTTAAATTGTAGACGAACGAAAGAGACAACTGGTCAAATTTGAAGCTCTTATTTCAATCCTGTGCTTTCTCTTCACCACTTACATTGGAGTCTGCCAGTGCAGTGACCATTTGTCCACATCCATTGTGTTAGTCTATTTTTAGATGTCTGATCCTAGCACTCAGCCAGTGTGACAGTGGCCTGTGTTCCAGTCACACTAGCTGCAATGGATGCTCGGGCCACAAACTGAGAGCAGATCAGAAGGAGGCATGTTTAACAACAGTGACTGCCTTGTTGACTAGCGATACCTCGGCTAATTCTGACCTCCTCGACCGCACTGTACTGCGAGATATCACCAGTGGCATCTGCTGTTAGTTCAACAGCAGCAGTGTATTTGACAGTGAGCAGACCGAGTGCAGGCGGTTTTCGGCGCCCCTCTTTATATAGATCCCGCACCTGTGGCCTCGCCTCCTTTCACAAGTGAAACTGGACAACTTGTTAATGGTGCAGAAAGGCAGAGCTCTGTAAACACGTGTTTGATGCCTTCACTGACACTTAAGTATTTCACACCTACTGCTGTTGACATTGCTAAGCATAGTGTCACAAACTCACTGTTTCCTCTATTTCTTATACTTTCACCTCCTTGATTTTACAAGGTTTCTTCTGTTTCATGAACCCAGTGGCTTCTCCTGATTTCTTCTATAATTAGGTTTCACTCACTCATTTGCATTGTAGATCATCCACCCGCTAAGACTTGAGTCATGGTGGTGAGTAGCAGAAGTGAGAAACTTTCCAGTCAGATATTTTGTCGACATGAATGTCAGCAAGTGCATTTACTTTCACAAACTACATGAGGTCACATACAGTAAATAGATGTGCGCTGTGCCATACTGTACCATGACATTGTCACCAAAGTTAAGCCACCACCGATCATGTGAGAAATGTGCCCAAGGTTGGTGGTAATGACTAGTCAGTACATTAGACAAAATGAGCTGGTGAATCCCTTTGTGAGGTGATTGTTGCACAGTAACGTAACAAATTGGTGGTTTTGTTGGTGAAAGTAGAAAATTCAAGCTAAAAATGCCAGTTCTTGGATACAGGCTTTGCCGGCTCAGGGTTTGGTTATTTGTTTTTTTGTTTGTTTGTTTTCTTTTCTTTTTGTGGGTCACACATAACTACAGTATGATTGAAACTGTGAAATCCAGTTCTTCATATCAAGCCTCTGTTTTGCCATGTTACATGCAAGCTACAAAGTTCAGTATACACTGTATATACACAGGCCATTTAAGTGTAAAAATGATAATGGCACAGAATTTCCTATTTCTCTGCAGCATTTATCCATTAAAGATCCAAGTAAATGAGATGTGTTCAGTGGCAGCAGGCTTGTCCTAACTTTCAGCTTCTACCTCAACATTAATGAACTGGTCAGCTGTATAATTTCTGACCTGCAGTCTGTATTGTGACATTATGCCCTCTGTGGTGGGAGTCTGACCCATCCTCAGCTGCAACAGCACCATTGTTCTTTCATTAACACAATAAAAAAATTAGCCTGCACACTTCAGAACCAGTCCAGGACAGACTTCATAGGAAGCCTTTGCATCTTTGCATGACCAGTAGCATTTACATTGTTTTCCACTGACCGTCAAGACAGTGGTTTGTGGACATTAAAGTGATTAAGTGCTTTAACCTTCTGTCTGCTCTTGATATTCTAGACAAGTCGCTCCACTCTTGATATTCTAGACAAGTCGTTCCACTCTTTATCCAGTGTCAATCATGACAGCATAGGGTGAGTGGCTACTACCGAGGGCTGGGTATGTGTGCTTTATGTGAGCATGCAAAACTGTATGTGCTGTATGAAGTGTCATTTACCTGGCACTTCCTAAAGAGGATATAGTTTATAAATATCATCCAGTAGAACTGAGGGTTGGGACTACAAAAGGCCACCCACAGTCTCCCCATTGTTCACCGGCATCATTGTTGGTCTGACCTCCTCACTGCTCAGCCATGGTAAGTCACTGTATGTGAGCAAGGACACAAAGTTTCCTGGCTTCAAAGATGCTGCCTTTATTCTGGACAGATGTGTGAAATAACTTTAACAGTACAGATATGTAATATTATACAACATAACATTATCTGTCATGATTTATTAGCTTTATGATGAATACTGAGTAAAATGGATGGGAAGCAGCATAGGCTTCCTTTTCATTATCTTGTCAGCAGCCACTGAATGTATTGATATGTAAAGGGCACATTAAATGCACCCTATATTACAAGCAATTAGCTGTGTTTTAATTGGGATTTTGAAGGAAAGTCATGATGTGAAAGCCTATGAAAGGATACTGACATATGTCAATTTGTTATTGCCTTCATATGGTTGTATGTTGTATTTTTGCACAGCATACATTTTTATGTTGTTTATGCACTAGTGTTCTCTACAAGCAATCCTAGGCCTTTTTTAGATGTAATTTTCTGTTACCAAGACATGTAGTCCCTGTTGTTTATGTTATCTCACATGTAGCTTAACTTTAACCACCATGCTGTGTTTGCCTTGAGACTTTTTCTCTTTTGCCAAAAGGCCCCCAAGAAAGCCAAGAAGAGGACAGGAGAGGGAGCCAACTCTAATGTTTTCTCCATGTTTGAGCAGGCCCAGATTCAGGAATTCAAATGCTGAACCATTTCTTATTTCACTTATTTTCATTTGGCTGAGAATGACATGAGGGTCATGGAAATGGTGTATGAATATGCATGTTGGCTCAGCCATGGTGAGGACCGTGATACAAGCGTTTCTGTCTTTATGCACACAGACGTCTCTACTTTGTCTTTCCTCTACATCCTCCTCTTGTCTTTCCAGCTTCATTGTTGCTCACTGTAGTGTGCCCACCTGTCTATTTTCCCCATCCTTGGCTTGACAGAAAAGAGGCATATGGTATGTTGATATGAAGGTCGGTGGGGCCCAGACATCCAGATTGTGTCGTCAGTGATTAGGCTGCAGCTAAACTGTTTGGCATGCCCTGGATGCCAGACTAAACCCAGGGGGGATTCAAGGCCGAGAAACGTATTTACACATTCTGTATCTTCTCCCTGTGACCTCAGGCCTTCACTATCATGGACCAGAACAGAGATGGCTTCATTGACAAGAATGACCTGAGAGACACCTTTGCTGCTCTAGGTGTGTTGTTATCACTGTCTACATCAGCCATATCCACTCTAACTAAATGCTATTACTTGATATTCTTCACAGAATCAAGTTGAGCTATACAGACTCTTAAAACCTTGCTACTTATTAATTCAGATTTTATCTCCACGCTGGTTACAAATAAAAGATTGAGCTATTTGGGAATGAGCTAAAATGTAAAACAAATTCTAGATAAGCAACATTTGTCTTGATGTGCAATGACTGAGTCTACTAGTGTCCTGTGTTCATGTTGAATGTTTGGTGCCACAGGACGTCTCAATGTGAAACAGGAAGAGATTGACGAGATGCTCAAAGAAGCTCCTGGCCCAATCAACTTTACTGTCTTCCTCACCATGTTCGGTGAGAAACTAAAAGGTGAGGGTGCACAGGCTACAGATAAAACAACCAAAGTGAAGCCAGTAGAGCACCAATTTAAATATGTTTCAAGAATTATAACAGTTTGAATGTATCTAGGTGCTGATCCAGAGGAGACCATCCTCAATGCATTTAAAGTCTTTGACCCTGAGGGGAAAGGTGCACTGAGGAAGGACTAGTAAGTGGCTTAACACACTTCTGTGAAAAGTTATTGCAAGGATGATTAAGTAAGCTATTACTTGCAATTTATGACTGCATCTGGGTCTGACTGAAACTCTTCATCCCAACTCCACTATGAGAAAAGCCATTATAACCTCCCCATTTTCCTCCCAGTGTGAACACAGGCATTGTCAACTCATGCAATGTTTGTTCTCTTTCCTGTTCAGTGTTACACAGATGCTAACAACACAAGGAGACCGCTTCTCCCCTGCAGAGGTACTGCAGCCTTTTTATGTTAATAAATTATTTGTGTGCGTGTGTGGGTGGGTGGGTGAGTCCAAAAAGCACAGAGGGATGAGCGTCATCATGATGATCTATATCTACGTCAGACACACTTTCATACCAAAAAAAGAACTCTGTGAATCATCCTCACATTTTTTCATGCACACTGAGCAATGCTGATGATAATATCTGTTTTCTGTTGGTTAGATGCAGCAGATGTTCACTGCCTTCCCCCCAGATGTGGCCGGAAACCTGGACTACAAGAACCTGGTTCACATCATTACCCACGGAGAAGAAAAGGACCAGGAGTAAACATTTTTGTCAAGTAGAAAGTCCATCTTCTGCCCATTCATGACTTCAAACTGATCCACTGCCCTTGAAGGATATATGGACTGTTGCTTATTTGCTCAACTTTTATATTGGCCACATTGTTTCTGTACAGTACTCATGCGAGAGCACAAGAGGATCAAGATGAAATTTTCTCTTCCAGGCCCCAACAAAGGACAAATCTGCATTTTGAGCTGTACTGCAGCCTTTCTGCTTTATCCACAATATGTCCCCACATTGACCCATGACTCATTAAATTTTTTTTCTTGTCATTTTGTACAGACTCAAAACTATGTTATTGTTTTTTCATGGAAAATATCCATTTGTTAGGTCTGTGCATGTTCGTCAAATAAAAGTGCTCAGAAACTGTTAGCAGCCCACTTTCTCATTATGGTTTTTGAATGTTTTATCTGAAGACTGTACATGTGAAAGATCCTATATTTCTGTTAGTAATACTCATGTTTATAGGATCAGTGCTTCAACACATGGCTATACAAGCTACTCTTTAATTCTATGTTAGGCAGTGAATGTATGCACTTGAGAATAATGGTGGTCCTCTAAAATCCTCCAGAGATTAATCTAAACCATGCATGTGACATTGTCTGTGGGCCTCCTTGTATTATTGTGCATGTATATAGTAGGATGCAGTATGTGTGTATCAGATGTGCACATGGCTGCTGAAACAGTGGGCTATAGTGAGACAAAACCCCTGTTATTTTAGTGCTATGATGACATCAGGAGGGTAATACTATACTACAGAGTTTGGACAGCAGGCACACAAAAGGATGCCACCAAGAAATCCACACCACCCTCACTTGCCAGACCTTGTTGGGGTGAAAATCCCAGTGGGGTAGGAGGGGGGTAGGAGATACATAGGGAGGAGTGAGGATTAAGTACCTTTATATGGATCAACTCAGATATCTGAGCTCACATCATTTGTCCTGTTTTAACCGTCTTTAAGAATAGACTTTGGTCATTAAGGCTAACAGAGGGAGAAAACACATTGTTCTTCTAAATTCAGTTGTACCTGCTGGCACAAATGAACTATTCTCTAAAAGCTGCAGTTATCAGTATTATTATACTAAAACTACTCTACCCAATTTCATTTCAGTTAGTGATGCTTTTAACATTCTCTGTCTTAAAAAGCCAACCTGGTGTTAACCCTGGTTCTTGCTCTTTCTTTTTGCCAGTCTCTCTGTGCAAAAGAACGTAGCCTCTTCAGCCGCTATTTCAGACTTTTAGCAGACTAGAGTTCCTCCATGGTTGGCTATTGGAAATTACCACTGGCGGCTCAGAAAACATATATTGCACTAGGTGGCAGGCGGCGCTAATTTACAGAGAGACAACACACCACGTCTCATGTTCACATGATTTATCAGACAATATGTAAAGTCTTGTTTAATGCACCTTTAACAGCAGAGGAAGTTTTTTTTTTTTTATATTCTTTCACAAGTCAAGAATAAAGTTAAAATACTATTTCCAGCAAGCATTAAAACGTTAAAGGTTAACTTTATTCTGGACATGCAAATTAAAAGAAAATAAATCTTTTCATTTTTCCATCATAGTTTTCAGCTTTAGCAGGTGTCAACCTTTAATGAAGCAGGTTTGCTAACCAGGTACCTGCTTAATACCAAGTAGGAGACAGGCAAAGTTAACAGCTAGCTAGTGAACCTAGTAGCACAATTAGCAGCTAAAGAACCAGATATTTACAAAACAAAGCTAAAAGGATAGTTAATATCAAAATTACTTGCATGAAGTGGGAAGAAACATGACTAAATGAATGCTAATGTTAGTCCTTATATGCTGGACATATTAATCTGTTGCTAACACAGCCATTGATAAAAGTGCTAAAATAATTCATGCAGTGTTAATATTGATGCTCTCTCACAAGACAGATTGTCTCAGTATGACTTCTGTAATTAAAATTGAAAATGCATGTGCTCGTGAATAAAGAGATTATCATACTGTGTGATACAAGGGTGTGATGCTGTAGCCTGTTATTTATTGCCTTCAGAGTGAGTAATAGGCGGGTTTACTGCAGTGACATAAGTGAGTGAGTGTGAAGGAGTCTTGCCTCAGTGTGTTTCTACAACTGCCTCATCTTATGCAACAAGTGCGCATACAGTGTACAGTTTAAAGATGAACAGGTGTATACAGAATGGTTACATACAGTATTATTAGTTTTGGCCAAAGACTTTTCTGTGAGGAAGTCTTAGCAAAGAGCTTCACTGCAGGGTTAAAGGTTTGTTGTTTCATACCTGGCAGCAAGTCACTTTCCCAGCATTTTCTCATCCTCTGTGCTGTTGGCCTGAATCATCAGGTTACTAATACTGTCCTTAAGGACACCTGAATAAAAAGAAGGTGACAGCAGGTGTTAGAATGTGAAAAATGCAGGGCCGGGTTCAGGAAGAGGTTTCTATTCCACCTGCTAGTGAAGTGTGTGATGTCATCAAATATGAACATGACAGTTTAGCATTATCTTGGCTACAAGCTGGGTGATGTTCTTTGAGCTGTGGGTAACTTAAGGGTAGTTTTTTCCATGGTTATGATATTTTCCTCTCTTTTAAGAGCACCAGTGCTGGTGAAAGACATTAGAAGCACTACAGTTTTATTTATTTATTAAAATATAAAATGATAGATTGATAGAAATCTCAGTCCCAAAATTTCACATTTTAATAATCTGGATCAAGCATTGTTATATGTATACATATCTTATATATATATATATATCTGGATATCTGGATATTGCTGCTGTTTCTCTGCACCAATCAGATAAAGGTCACAGACAGTTAACAAGTCAAACTATGCCTGAAAAACATGAAATTCTATCTTGTTGGACTAACACTAAAGAACAAGCTACTTTAATTAAGACGTTATTCTCTACTATTCTGTAATTATCCAGGATTCCTATGGGAACAGGCTCTTGTACTTCTCTTCTTGGAGCCTTCGTCCTCTTCTAAAGGAATAATTTGCTTTCACTTCCTCTCCATGACCGTGTGCAGTTTGGTGTCATGGTCAGTGACATCTGGCCAGAGACAGTGGCCTGTCTCCACCTCCATGGACTCCCTCGCCTCCAGCATTCAGGTCTCAGCCTCTGACCTGTAGCATAACACAACACAGACACACACATGGCATTTCATGGCTCAACTCCACCACTACACCCTTTCTACATGCACCGAAACATGTGAATTTGCCTCTGGTTGAAAGCAATGGTGACTCTCTGCTCCAGTTCCTCCATGATGTTTCGCTGTGTCAACAAGTGTCTGTTAAAGTTAGCCTGTACTTTTCTGCTGCTGCAGGTGAACAATGTCTTTACAGTGATTCATGTTGCTGCACAGCAACTTGTCAGACTTAATAGTATCCTTTAGAATACAAGCAAATATTTGGAGTTGGAATTAAAATCGGGGACAAGGTTATGGCTAGTTCTCACTGAGGGCTTAGACAGTAACAATGGACAACAGCTAAAAATTTGGGCTTTGTAACAAAAGAAATATGCAAATTCTCTTTACTGAGTGTTAGATAAAAAGATTGACACCCTGTTCATATCTGTCCATTAAATATGCATGTACATATAAGGCCACAACCAGCAGCCTGTTATCTTAAAATCAACAAGACTAGAAACAGTTAGCCTGGCTCCCTCTGAAGACAACACATCCACCTACAGTAGCGCCGCTAAAGTTAATTAGTCACTGGGAGGTGCTGGACTGTCTCTTGGGAGGACAGAGTGACTTCCTGGAGTTTTTTCCTAAGTATGTTTTCCACAGTTAACAAATAATTAACTTTCCACTGATTAACTGGGATGTGCTATAAATGAAGCTGACACAGAAACATAAAGGTCTGTAAAAAAAGAGGTCAGGGTCAAATTATCAGTATCAATATTCAATACTAGGTGAGAGAGAAATGGTATTTCAATTTTCTGTATGTCCTGCACATATAGTGAACTGACAATATAAAATCTTTGATCTTGAAATTATTTAGTTTTGTTAGCACTGGTACCTGGCTGAGTTTTGTTTTTTTAAACTGCAGATGTGTCTCCGGTGGCTGTGATGTTTCCCCTGGTGTTAGAGAAGACCTCCTGGGACTGTTAATGTCTCTTGAATCCTGCTGCCTGCCACAGTTATGTGGAGCCACATAACAACAAAGGCAATGCATACAGTACAATCTGTAACAGAATGGTTCAGCCTGTTGCACACTGAATTTAAAATGAAGACGGTCGACTTTCAGCTTTAGGGGCATGTGAAGGTTTACACATCCATATTGTTTGAACAGAAATTGCAGACATCTTAATAAATAGTTCCCTGTTTAATATTAGAAAGTATTCCTCTTACTTATATTGCATATCATATCAAATCGCATCGCATCACATTGTATCAGGTTGTTATAGTCCTCTCTGAAGGAGTCTGTTGCCACTTTTGGTCTAAAAGTACGACAAGATCCACTGCCCTGACTGGTTGGTTCTTCTCCACTCATGACTCCAAACATAAGTAGTTTGGCATATAACCACATCAGATTTTGTTATTAATATTTCTGAGGTAATGACCTACCTTTCAAATATGGAGTGATATCCTAATTAACCCTAACTGGGCTTCATTTTTTGTACTCAAACTGCAGGCTGCAGTATTTCTCAGTTTTAAACATAAACATTTCTGCAGTGGATAGACCTTGAAATAAAACCTGCTGAAGTCCACAGTCGGTTAGGCTTATGAAAACCAAATTAAAAACAGAACCCTCAGTCAAATGAAAAGTAACTCTCACTGAATCTCTTTTAGTTTTTAAATGAGTCCCCTCTAGTGGCCACTAAAGAATATGAATGATTCAATAAGCCAAAACAGCATCCAAATGGATAAACAAAGGCTGCAATGCTCACAGTATCCACAAAATAAATTTTACAAGCCAAATGCATCTTAAATTCAACAAATTCCTCAAAACAAGCCTATAAATCATTATGCAGCAAGATAAAAATGAAAGCTTTAAAAGCAATTATGAGAAGATTACACAGAATTCATAAAAAGCCTCCTTTAAGCCATCATAAAGTCACTGTAATCTCTGTGCTGAGCACCACACACTCCCAGGAGGGTTATTACAACAATATCACACCAGTCATTGATCAGGAGAAGCATCTTTCAGTCTGCTGAGGGCGCAGTTAACACTCACAGAGGTTTGTGTTAAGATTTAATAAAGTGCTTTGGTTTGTTTCCACCACTGAGAAGTAATAGATGGATTATCTGATATCACTGATGATTTGTGCTGAGTGAATTACATCTGTTTAGAGTGCACCAACTACAGCTACGAGCAGAATGGGTCGGGTTTCACATCTCTTCATTTATGTGTGTTAGTGTATTATCTATGTTTAGTCTACTTTGTCTACTTGTGTGTGTGATTTTCACTTCTACTCACCCTTTGTTATTTTAAATCGCTGCCCGTGTGGTGTTGGACTTGTTATTTTGATAACTAAAAAGTTATGGTAGCTAATCTACAGTTGGCATTACAGCAACAAAACAGATGTAAGAATGTAGTGGTCTCTGTAGTGGCAGACCGGTCACTCATACTGACCCCTGTCCACCACCCAGTGCACCTACAATGGGCACATGAATGTCAGAACTGGACCATGGAGCAATGGAAGAGGCTGGCCTGATCTGATTGATCACTCTTTCTTTTACATCATGTGGACAGCCAGGTGTGTGTGTTTGGGGAAAAGATGGTACCAGGAAGCACTATAAGACAAAGACAAGTTAGCAGCATAATGCTCTGGAAGCAATGTTCCAGGAAGCTTTGCGTCCTGGGTCTGGGTTGTGATTTTATTTTTAATGTGACATGAAAAATGTATCTCACACTATAATAAAAATTCATTCAGTTATTAAAGACTAAAGGCTAAGTTCTTGTCACTTAACAGGTTTTTAATTTAATTATGATACCGTAACTGCACACAAAAAAACAAATACTAATAACAATGTGTATTGTGTTTAGGCTGTTATTTCACCACCTCTCCCTGCACACCTATTCATTTCCTTATTAAGTGTCAGAAAATATAGTTTATTAGAGTAGTTGAATAATTTTTTATGTTGATAATTTCTTGCATCCTGTGTGTCTTTAGTCAACAAGTGAGGCTGTACAGTGTTGTCAGCATATGAAGTGGAAAGACAGATAACCTCCCTGAACTGTACTGGATGATGGAAAGAGGCTGCATCAATGCAGCCACTACACCACTGGATGAAATATAGCCTCCTGTCTGAGGGGTCTTCAGTCTCTTGTCACCTCGCTTCACTACCAGTCTGCGCCGCTAGATGGCGCCGGTCCATGTGTATAGGAGCTGGTGGGCAGGCATGGGGGCTGGATGTGGACTGCTGGAGAGTCAGTGGGGGCAAATGGGTATGTGTGTGTTGGCGAGTGTGTCTGAGGCTCGTCGAGCATTAGGGGAACTTGAAAACTTCACTGCGTTCAGCGAAGGAACATCTGTGATCGGAGATTCGGCGATTTGGAGCTGAATCGGCTGCTTCCAGTCCAGCTGTGATCGACACAGGGCGACCGGTCCGGTTCTCAGCATTGGCGCGATTTCCGGCCAACATGGATGATTTGGGTAAGTTCGCTCACCGTGAACGCAATATTAATGCAGCGTGTGTTTGTGGGAGTGTGTGTGTTGTTGGTGCAAATAGTCAAAGGTCGCGCTAGAGGTGCATTCAAACGGATTGGTGTTTTTAGGGAGGTCGATAGCTGTAGTTATCGAATTGGGTCAGCGGTGTGTTATATATGTCCAGACAGGTTAAGTTATCCGCGCGAGGTTACCTGCCCAAAAAGGCCCCGCGTGCTGACATAAACGCACTGTAGCACGAGACTCATTTCGATAATTAACCTGATCAACGTGTGCGAGCTCTTGTTTGTGACGTAGAAGCGTGTTTGAGTGGACGCAGGGCTCGGGCCGACGCACTGACAGTTGTTTTGCGGGAGTTCTTCCTCTGACATCAGCTCCAGATTACCTGCAGGCACGATAGGCTACTGCGGAACTCCTCTAACTTTTTAGAAGTCGAAACTAGCAGCAGTCTGTCAATTGGACCACGGGTCATTTCACATTGGATGCGACACTGATGTAAAAGTTGGCAGTGTAATTAAAAACAGCAGAATAATGCTGCTTGCACAGCTTTATCAGGATCACGGTTTGTTTGCATTAATTTACACACACTTGTGTTTACAAGGCTGAGTTTTTCCCTGGCAACTGTGAGGTTAACTTTAGCAGGACATCCGTGAATTGCACCGAAGGAGTCGGGTTCATCGGATGCTATAAAAACACCAGAATGCATTTGTAAAGTCAAAGATGATAAATGGCCAGTATAAGCAGTCCAAAACGGTATCACCAACCTCTGTGGACATGCAATCTGACAAGAGACGAGTATTTTCATATTTCATTCGTGTTTCAGGCAGGGCAAGGCCATTCGGATTCTGTTTTGTATATTGTATGTTAACAGAGTGTTTACGAACACCTTCTCAGTGTAGGTCAAATCCCATTTACTCTGGTAGTGGGAGTGATGCTGTACCAGGAATATTGGGAACATTATATCCAGACAATATTTAAGGATACCCTCTCAGCTTACATGGGTGAAGGGCTTTTCTTGAAGTAGCTACTTAAAAAAAGAATGTTACACAACCCAGTGTAATAACCAGGCCATGGTGTTGTAAATTCTGTCAGCATTTTAGCAGAGACCTGTAAAAATGAGCGCACATACAGTACGCTCTGTCATTACTGATGGTGTTGGGATGAGAGTCACAGAGGGGATGTTTTCCTCCATCTTTATGAAAATCAAAAGTGTTTAAGTTTTAATATGGTTTAAATGCAGTCAGGGATCTAAAGACACACTTCCCACCGAGTGAGGAGGTGCAGGGATCCGTGCACCCCAGACCCCAGAGAGGACAACAAAACCTCTATGTATTTTTAGCAGAGGAGAGTCCTTTTCTTTAAGTGCTGAGGCAGCAGCATGTAGGAACTTTCCACCAACCAGCAAGCCGTTCTCTTTCCACCTTCGCCTCACTTTCATTTCTCTGAACAGTTTCCACCTCACCACAGACCCCTTGTGACTAAAGCAGTTAACTCTGACTGGCAGGTTTTCTGTTCCCTTTAAAAGCATCTTTCCTGTGGTCCGCACACGTGTACACACACACACACTCAGTTTGTTATAGCCATATGCTTCTTCCAGCAGCGGGAGCAGGCTAGTGCTCCTCTCAGGCAGGGCGCTGGGATGGATCAGGCCCATATGCAGGGATTGGGCCTCAGCCAAACTTTATCCTCCTTAAACACTGCACTGCCCCACCCTCTCCCTTCCCACTCCCCACCATTCCTGTGGTGAACCACATAAGGAAGCTGCAGGCTACAATCTACTGACAGTTTAAAGCTGGCTGAGATTGCAAGAAAACAGATTAGCCTTTAGGAAGACTTGGATCCAGGCAGACTGTAATGCTTGATGGCTGGCAATTAAAAGGGTTCTAACTTCAGCCACTCAGAATTTTAACAATTGCAATAATACTACAAAAGGCTTTCTTTTATTACATTATTCATGGATTCATATACTGTAGTTTGCAGTCTTTGTAGGGCAAACTTTCACTGACCTCCCCTCCTCAGCTGTCAGTACTGCTGAGCATGGCTCCGTGCTTCACTGCTCTGGGCCTGCGCCAACAAGAAATGAATGTCAAAAAGCCTCCAATGTTAACTTCCTTTTACCAGCTTTGGTCTGCAGGACCTTACAGTATTTTCTTTTATATGTTTGCAAATACAGCAACTTGCCTGTTTCTCAGTCACAGACTTGTTTCGCTGTCAGTTCAGTGGCATCATTTGAAGCGAAGTGATTCCCCAGAGCCTTGTCAGTGCAGCAGCAGCAGCACTGGAAATGTCACTCATGGAGTGGGTGTGTGCAAAATCCTTCTTTTCTCACTCCAGATGAGATCTGATGTATCCTAGATACACAACCAAACCCAAATTTAGGTTTGACCATTGTTTAAACTCCAGAAGAAACATCAGACAGCTCACATGTGGACATTTGTCATGTCCTCCTCATGCTCTATTTTAGGATGTGACATGGATGTTGTTTATGCCTGAGTGTAAGGCTTTCATTCTGTCAGGCATAGCAACATATTTTTCTTGTTTTGTACTGGCAACAAAACCTTACCAGCCACAGTTGTTTTTAGCAATAGTTGACCTTATTCATTTATGATGTGGTGATGCAACAGTAAATACAGAGTAATAACTAGTAAATTAAAATGACATATCTGACCTTTGCATATTGATATTGTGAGTATTAACACTCGGCATGTGTCTTTAAAGAAATAGTTTGACATTATTGGAAATGCCATGTACTCACGTTTTTCGTAAAAGGTCAACGAGAAGACGGATCATAAATATGTAGCCAGCAGCCAGTTCCCTTAGCTTAGCACAGAGACTGGATACGAGGGGAAACAGCTAGCATGCCTCTATGCAGAGGTAACAAAACTCACCTATAATGGAGCACCTCTGCTGGCTCCTGCCACTGAGTAGATATCAATCTTCTCAAATAAGCTTATTGCTTCCAAAGCTGTGCCATCTAGGACTTGAAGTCTGCTGTATGCTTTTAACAAAAACCTGAACTGATGGTGTGGATTTTGAAACACCAGGCACTCAAAAATTTGCTCTGACTTGCTTCAGTTATGACTGTTGTTTAAAAATAACTGCAGTATTCTTTTAAGAGTAAAGTCGATCTAGACTCGAGAGTTCCCACTAACAAAAATCCTCTCCAGTTAACCTTCTCCTCAGTTAAGCTAAAAAAAAAAAAAAAACCTCTCTGACAATTAGCTTAAGGCAACAAGGGGCAAGCCTGCACTTGACGATAAGTCTCTTGCGCCTGACACATGCACATAAATCACACACAGAATCCGTGTAGCATCTGAAGGCTTGAAAGGATTCCCTGTGTCTCCTTGAGGGTTTATCCATCTGTCTGACTCTAAACGAAAACACTGTAGGGCTTTCAGATGTATGGTATATGCACACACACACACGGACACACAAAACACTACTGCTCGTGGACTGGTGGTGTAGACAGACAGCTCTGAGGGGGAAGTTGACTAAGCAGTGACAGCTCTACATTAAGCCAACCATCTTGTCATCTCTCAGGGGCCCAGCATGACAGCAGCCTGCAGGGTCAATATGCGAGCAGCTACTGGAGCAACATGCAACCAGGGTTTATGTGGAAATGGGCCTTCAGGCCTACTCAAAGAGAATTCCAGCAGTATTTGGCTGTGATTAGGATCTTTGTAATCTTAGCTAGCATGTCATACAGTATTGGTACTGTATGTGCCAGTCATGTTCCCCAGTCCTGCTGTTTGTCAGCATGTACTCAAAGACTCAGAGAGCCCTCTTTAATGGGTGACATCTCATCTAGTGAGACACACGTTTCATGACAAGAAGTGGCCTTAGTGACCTCTCTGTTGTGGTGGAAGTCAGGAGTTTTTTTTTTAATTATTTTTTTAGCTATTAGCCAACTGAAAAGCCTAGTGTATGACATGTTAGTCATACATAACTTGTGGGCGCACGTCATCTTGTCCTACTTCTGTGGAAAACCTTAATGTGAGTAGAAGGAACTGATTTGCATTTTTGTCGTTGTTGCTATTTCCTGCTTTGTTTCCAGGCAGCCGTAATAGCTCTAAGATAGCTTGATGTTGCATGTTGTCAATGAAGACTTAAAGCAAAATGAGGAGAAAGTAAATGAACCTTTTGTGTTATATGCATAATATGCCTTCAGTTGTAATAAGCCTTCCACAGCATCCTGCTGTGCTCTGCTGATCCGAGCTCCCTGCACTCGGTCTGACAGTGACTGACAGCTCGGTTGATGTGCAGCAGATGTGAGATGGTTTTGCATAAAAAAAACAACACTACAACACTAATTGGCTGGCAGCACCAACAGGAGACCACTGCAGGTTTTCAAATGAAACTGCTGTTAATATAGCGGCCCTTTGCTCCAGTGTAATTTGCCTTTTGGAATGCACCTGCTTCCTCAAAATGGCTCCTAAATGTCCTCTTTTCCAAGAAGTGTATGGTTGATGAGGCGGCAGGCTTAGACATGTCACTGTTTTGTTAGGAAATTCACTCAGGTTTCCTCTGGCCTTGGATTAAACAGTCACTAACTAGCTGCTGCTGCTGCCCTGTTTAGGATATAAAGCCAACACAATGAAAGTCTGATGAACTGGGAAGTTAAGATGGTGGAGGACAAGTGAGTGTGCATGTGTCAGTGTGTTTGTGTCAGATTGCTTGTGCTTTAGTTGGATTTACACTCAGCATCTGGCTTGTTAAAGAGGATCATTCTGGAAGTGTGATCTAGACCCCGCTTGATTAATGATGGTCAGGATCACTACTTCACAGGTTTATATGGATGTAGGCCTAACAAGAGTGTACACATTCACATGCACATACACATACAGTATGTGAGTTCTGGCACCCTGGTAGAGCTGATTGTTTGTTTACTAGTGAAATGATTTGGCCGGCTTTGCAAACCTCACTCTGTCCTTGTCCTGCTGGAGGGAGACAAAGAGCAGCTTGTTTGTGGTGCTGTGACCTACTTCAAC